AATGAATGCTAAAAACCAATGTTGGGAGAAAGAAATCACCGAAGAGTATAATTCAGGAGCTCTCTGCCCAAGAACAACTACAGTAATAAAAAACTGCTGGGAGAATTTGAAGGCAGATGGTAGGAAAGTTGCAGCTGATGAGAGGCAAAGTAGAGTGAAAACAGGTGAGAAAATATTTTTCATCTGGCTACAACATTCACTTCAAATTTCCTTTGTTGTATCATTCTTCCATTGTAGGTGGAGGTCCAAAAAAAGAAGTGCCTGTTGATCCAATTATGTATCGGATCATAGACCTCATTCGCCCTACAGCTGTAGGGCTGAATAATCCATATGATACAGACAGTGTTTTAAACAAAGGCAAGTAGACCAGAGCATTGAAACCTTTTTAAATTACTAAAATCAAATCCTATTAGGAAAAGTAACAAATTGATTTTAATAGATGGCAACACCTCCATCAAATGGCATAATTAATTTTGTTTCAGAATTAACTATTGAAGAAGAACACAATTATGGTGTGGAAATAGAAGTTCCTCTGGAATGTCAGTTCAATGTGAGTTAAATCAGTCAATATTATTCAATAAATAATTATTCTCATTCATCTACATTTGTGGAAGAGCTTGAAATCCCTTATTCATGTTCAATCCTAATTATTATTTTATATACATATCTCTCAAAAGTCATTGTCCTATAATGCATTCTTTTATTATATTATCACCAAGTATTGTTTATAATAACAGTTCTTATTTACAATTGTCATTACAGGATGACACTAGTTTAAATGGAGTATGGCCTCATTATACACCTACACAGCTGAGGAAGCCTAGAACAAACATATTGAGAAAGTTACCTCAAAGTTCTATTGAAGTTGAAGAAGATGGGTCGGTTTCAATAAATTTATTAGAGGAGGTTCAGAGTGCAGACATAGAAAACATTGCTGATAGTTCTCTGCACACATTATCCGAGACATTATCTTCCACTGCTGAGCTTTGTCCTGAAACTCCAGTGGCAAGACATAACTATCAAACTCCCAATAAAAGGCTTGCATTAAAGCCTATGACTGCTGATGAAATTGCACCAAAAAAGCATAAACCTGACAAGGAGAATTCCCCTAGACACCAGGCAAGTAGAAGGAGACCCATCATCTCACTGGCGAAAAATTATGATCTGATGTCAAAAAGAGTAGAGGCCCTAGCAAAGGTGACATCTCATACAGAGGAGGAGCACCAGATTGTTATGGACATCCACCGTGAGAAACTAAGACAAGAAAAAGTTCGTACAAGAATACTCCTCTTTGAACTTAAGGTGGCTAAGAGACAGTTCAGAAATTGAAATCCTTAGGTTTTTAGTAATACACCCTCTGAAGGTGTTGGAATTTCCTAGTTTTTTGTTTTGTACATATTTCGGTTGACCATGACTGATTATTGTTTGTCTAGTCACAGTTCCCCTATTGGGTAGATTAATCCTTCTAGTTATTTTTTTAATGTGATATTTGTTGGGTTTTGCCTTCCTACAATAACTGTAGGTGTTGAATTTTTTATTTTATTTTTTTTAGTTATTTATGTTAACCATGACTAATTATTTTGTTTGTCTATATTACTCTATACAGTTTCCCTCACAGGAATAATAACAATCCCTTATTTGTTAATCTGATGTTTGTAGTTTTGCCATTGTGTTGATTATTTTTTTTCTATACCATCCTATAATTTTTTTTCACAATTATGTAAAATAATAAAGTTGCATTTGTATATGTCCAGTTTTTGACATGAATCCATTCTTGTGATGCCAGAACTGATTTTTGTATGGAAATATTGTACAAGAAAATGTAGTGTCCACAATTCAGATGTTGGAATTTTTGTTATTGATATTTGTCATTTAATAAAAGTCAGTAACTTTCGAACATGAGTTTTATTAGGTACCTGAACATTATCTCAAACAAATTTGACAAACTGAGCTGGTGAATCACAATATAATGACATTATGAAGTTTTTTTTCAGTGTAGAGAAAACCACTCATCTGGGTTTAAATTTTCACAAATAATAAACAATTCTCTTGAATTAATGTGTTTGTGAAAATTTAAACTCAGGAGAATGTTATTCTCATTAATAATGAATTTTCATTAGTTAAATAAATAAATATAAGCTAATTCAATTGTATATTCAGGAAGCACCTATTTGATCCATTGGGTATGAAAACAACCACTAATATGAAATAAGACCTATTATTCATAGTACTACAGCTAATGCCTCACTTCTGGATGTGGATCATTTCCTCGATTTCCTTTATGTTCCTCCCTTCTGTTCATTCCAATTTCCCTGTGTTGCAATTCCATTCTCACCAACCTGAAATGAGCAAAATGAGCATTAGCCTTGCTGATATAGAAATAGAAATTGTATAACATTCAATGATTGGAAACACCAACCTTGTGAAGTATTGATGTACCATGCCAAGTCTTTCTCGTTGCTCAGGATGATCCCTCCTCCTGTTCAAGGGCTGATGAATGGGATTTTCGCCCATATCACCCTGAGCCATTATAATTTTCCATGGTACTGGTAGGTTGGCTTCAAACTGAGGCTCAAATGGTGGAACAGCTTCTCCTCGTCTTCGTAAGATGTTATGAAGAACAGTTGTTGCTACAATTATGGGAAACACTTTATCCAAATGAACTCGAAGACCTAATGATGAAACAGGAAATCGCCTTTTCCATACTCCAAAACTTCTTTCCACAGGATTCCTGGTTCTTATTTGTGATTCATTATATAACTGTTCAGCAGGGCTCAAACAATTATCAAAGGGTGTCATCATATATTTTGTGCAGGAATATCCACTATCTCCTACTAAAACAGCATTTCCATATGCACCATCATCAAACATAGCTTTCAAGTTGGAATTCCGGAATATAGTAGAATCGTGAGTACTACCAGGCCACCTGGCAACTATGTCTGTGAATTCAAGGTTTGAATTGCATACAGCTTGAATATTGAGGGAAAAGTAGCCCTTCCTACAACGAAACAACTCTGCATTGTCACCACCTGAAAGCAAAATAAGTTGAAGAAATTGAGAAAATAATATCAGGGAAGGATTCACCTGGGGTATTAATTTCAACATGTGTGCAATCAATGGCACTCAAAACCCTAGGAAAACTGGCAATACTGAAAAAATCCATCTGTGTCCTTCGAATTTCCTCTGGAGTTTCAGGGAATTTGATATGAAGAGGACGGAGAGAGGCAATAGCAGCACTGACTCTATGTATTATTCTATGTGCTGTTGATTTACTGATTCCAGAGAAGTCTGCTACTGTGATTTGGTGACAACCAGTAGCATAAAACCTCAAAGTGCACAATAACTGATTCATTGGTGAAACAGAATCATTCCTGTGAAATAAATGAGAAATTAAAATTACAGGAATACCTCAACAACAAATTAAATATCCAACTACTTTGGCCTGCTGCAACTATATACATTTCACAACAAAATTGAAATATAATCATAAAACTTACTTGTCATTAGCAAATTCTATTTGGTCTTCGATTGACTCCAGTATCTGGAGCGCTGCTTCTTTTGAAAGTCGAAACCTTTTCTCAAAATCTTCATTGTCCAAGTTATGGAAATAATCTTCTCTTTCTTGAATCCATCGAGGACGTCGAACAACGAATTCTTCTTCATCACTATCACTATCATCTTCAAATACAAGATCGTAAAGTCTTTGGAATGCCATCGAAATTCGAAAATTTTACATGCAGTTAATCTGGATCAACAAATAAACTCGCCAAAAATGGCCGATTTGCACGGAATCGCGATTGTTTGATTTAATCGGGCTTTGGAGCGTGGTGAAACGGTTCAATATGTTAATCGTGATCTGAAACCTCACTTAAGAGTTAAGTAGAGATTAACGTTGTTGGTGAAACCGGGCCTTAGATACTTTCAAATCACATTTCCGCATGTGTAGATCAACGTTTGAAGTTATATCAGGACACCTCTCCCAATACCCTGAATTTATAAAACGTGATGAGAATATCTATGGTGGTCAATCCCAATTATGTGTGGATAAAACTTTACTCATTGCCATATGGACCCTAGGAACACGACCTGAGAGTTATCGTTCAATAGGAGATAGGTTTGGAGTAGCCAAAAGTACAGTGCATAATGCAGTTCATGTTACTGTCAATGCAGTAATAAGATACTTGTGTAAATTGATCATTAAGTGGCCTACCATTCAAGATAGAGACTTGTTGGCACTGAATTTTTCCAGATATGGCCTCCCACATGCAATTGGTGCATTAGATGGGTGCCATATACCCATAAGGAAACCATCAGAAAATGGTATTTACTATTTTAATAGAAAAAAATATTATTCTGCTGCACTAAAAGCAATTTGTGCCCCAAATTTAATGTTCACTGACGTGGAGTGTAGATGGCCAGGAAGTGTACATGATTCTAGGGTGTTTCGTACCTCTGAAATTTACCCATTGGGTGAAGAACTATGTGCTCCATATCATTTCATTGTAGCAGATGCAGCCTATCCTTGCAAACATTGGGTGATAACGCCTCACCGAAATAATGGCTTATTGACACAACAACAAAAAAATGTCAATACCATACTATCAAAAACGAGAGTTAAAATAGAAAATTCTTTCGCCTTATTGAAAGGCAGGTTTCGTAGACTCCTCAATTACCTTGATATGGTGGACATGCAACACATTGTTAATACAGTGATAGCCTGTTGTGTTCTTCATAACATATGCCTAATGCATGAAGGTGATGTTCACACCTTTATTGAAGAAGGTATAAGACAAATAGACCTTATCGAAAATAGAGCAGAGAACCATGATATTGGGGATGATATTAATGGTCAACAAATAAGGGAGGCTCTCACACAATATTTGTGGGATCATGCTCTTTTTATTATTACTTGTATCCATAAAGATCTGTAAGCAGTTTAGGAATAAAATGAAAATTCATAAAGTGTTTAATTATTTATCACAAAAATTAACATTTCCTCACAACTGTAACTTGTACTTCAAAATTAATAGTTGTATCCATATTTTGATATAACACAAAGTAAATCCTGTCCAGAATAATGGAAAACTAGATAAGATAGATGTTCCCATCTGAAAACAATGTCACAATCCTCTAAACAACTTTATCATGTTATTCTTGTTTTGTCTCCTTAAGCAATGATATCAGCTCAGAGACCATTTCTTTATTTTCCTCATGATGCTGCTGCATCATTTTCATCCTCTCAACTTCTCTTTTTTTCATGTCTTCTTTATAATCTTTCAAGAAGGCAATCATTTCAACTCTTGGGCTAGGACGGAACCTTTTGGCTTGTTTAGGGGATTCAGTACTTGCAACATTATTGGTAGTAACATCAGTGGTATTTCTGGAATGTAATGGAGAACAATTAGGTATTGTCGAAGAGGGGCCAGATTCAGAGTTTTGTTGTTTCTTTTTCACTGGTATTTTGGCATTTATGGCATTCATAATGTTCTTTTCCAAACTAGAGCAAGAAGCTATGGGGGTTATGTTTGGGGTTTGTCCCATATAATTTTCCAATATTTCATAGTATTCCCAATCTTTGAAAGAACTACCCCTTGCATTATTGTGATCTCTAACCTCTTCATATTTGTTGATCAATGTCTTCATTCGGTTATGTATTTGTTCTGGTGTAACATTGTGTCCATGTTCTGCCATTTTCTTTGTAATTTTTTTATAAATTGCAGTATTTTTCATTTTTGGATCTAACAACTCCTTTTTGAAAGTGGTACATTCATCCATCATGAGTAGAGTTGTAGCAAAATCCCACAACCGTCTTTTCTTCAACATATCTGCATCAGAAGCATCAGGCTCATCTTCATCTATATTAGGTGTACTACTGCCTACAGCTACAGGGTCTGTGAGCTGTGCTGTTAATAGGGGCTGATTGCCCTCCAAAAGTTCATAGCAGCCTACTAAAAAAACAAATTTGAGTAATGAGAACACCTCACTGGCTTGTCAGATATTCAAAACTTACTTTGTGTATTATACCGAATATATTGACCATCATCTGTTTTGATGATTTCGCCATTCAGAGGCTCTCTATTCATCGTGAACAAGCAAAAAGTGGCAAAAAACTTAGAAAGCCTTTCATCTCCTGTTTTCGAAAATTGACGATTTAGAGGTTAGAACTTAGAACACAAATCATAGAACAACAACCCTTCCACTATTTCATGTCATTCCGCTTTTCAAACCAAGTCGTTAGAGGGAATGACAATAAGAATAGGAATTGGTTTGAGTACACAACAAAACGTTCACACTGCCCAGAACCGGATAGGGTTATGGCACAACAAAACGCACCTACTAATCATGCGCTCGCTGCATGAAACGGAACAGGTCCATAGAGTGACGACAATGCCTGAAAAATGGCCACCGTTTCCATGTGTCAGTTGTCACTGAACGTCAAAATAATTGATAAAAATATAAATAAAAAATTTCAAATTATCTGTATAAATATTACTAATCTATTGATGATCAGAATATGATTTGCCTTGAAATATAATTGAAGTATTGTGTTTGTATCCTGATGAACCAGAAAGTTGAAAGATCATCAAAAAACCTGTGATATATCAATGGTTTTAGTATCATGATCAAATACCTATGATCGTTCATAAGACTGCATAGTGAAAAAGTACCTGCCTACCCGACACCCCCACAGTATTACAGAATGATGAAACTTGGGTTTGGATTTGTAGCATTTTGAAATAATTTATACAGCAACACAAAGGGAGTAAATTGTACCAAGAATTTTCACCATAAAAATTGTATAATTAGGGTTTGCACCTACTAGGATGGAGATTAGCTAATTCTGTGAGAATGTTACAATGAGAACTTGTACCATTTTGGCGGTAAAAGTAGAGAGAGAGAGAGAGAGAGAGAGTCCCCTCTGACGGCTGTCATTGGTCATTGGGTAAAGTGAGAATTGCCAACCTAAATATTTAATGGCCATGTTTACAGAACCGGCTGACGGAACATCCCCCTTTTTTACAAAATCAAACAAAATCTTTCATCCAGGTCGGTTTTGTACATGAACGTTTAGGTCTACCTGGAGTTTGACACTTTATAACATTTTTAAAATTAACCTTGGGTGATGGTGACAAATCAGATACATCAGATGTTGAAACATTGATATCAGGCGGGACTTGAATACTTTCAGACACACTAATACTAGTTTCACTGGCACTGCTGTCCACTTTCATATCACTAGATACATAACTATTGCTATCACTAGGTTTTCTGCGCCATAAATCATCTGTTTGGGGTACTGAGTTCTCTATTGGAGGGGAAATAAAGTTTCTATCACTTTGATTGTTTGTTTGATTGTTATAACATGTAGCCTGTAGTACGCCCCTAAATTATAGTATTGTGTGCGCTACTGTGTTCCGGTATTTCGAGAATCGTGATGCGCGGTCGCGTGTACTTAAAATGGTGTGGAGGGAATGAGCATGGTGACGACATTCCAGGCGCGAGAGGTTGGAACGTTAGCAGCAGTTGGCCGTAGAAGGTGGCTGAGAGCATACCTTGTTTAGTTAGCCAGGCCGAGTGCGAGAGATTGAGGCACTATCAAACAGTATTTAAACGAAATATCTGTAAATTACACGGCCACCACAGAACTGAAATAGAATAACTTATTAAACCCGAAACTATATTCAACAAAATATTAATTATACAGTAACAAACAAGTGATCCCGACCGAGAGCGCTTCGACAATGACAATGGTCTCTCTGTGTGTTACGTATCTGACACCTCATCGCTTCATCACACCAGTGATATTCCTTGCATTCTTGAGATAACAGTCACAGTCGGCTAACCTGACAAAACTTCACGTCCTCGTGAAGCAACGGCTAGATCCTGGATCCTGAAACAATGAGATTATTTCGATATCACTGAATATAATATACAACCGAAGAAGAATAAAGAAAAAGAAATATTTATTCCTCTTCGGTGGAACTGCCCTCCGTTGACGAGACAGTCGTTAAAAATAGTTTCATTCGTTCAGACGGACATATGCCCGTGTAGGCTATCCTTGAACGTTTCGACCCTGGCAAATCATTTACCACGTACCGATCGTTATCAAGTACTTTCGTAACTACAAAGGGTCCTTTATAACGTGGTTCAAGCTTCCTGCTCCGCCCATCAGTGGAGGTCTTATTTGCTTGAACAAGAACGTGTTGGCCAACTGTAAACGTCTTTATATTAGCATGCTTCTTATCGTATATCTCTTTTTGATATATTTGTTTTTCCTTAATCTTTTGTGATACATCATCTCTGAGATTTTCCAAGTCACGATGTTCGTCTCGTGTCTGAGAGATCTCTGATGTAAGGAATGCATCGTTCACATTCCGAGGTCGGTATCCAAAGAATATTTCATGGGGAGTTTTACCTGTGGTGGAATTAACCGTCGAGTTGATTCCCCACTTCACCTGACTGACAGCTTCATCCCATCGGGACTCGTCTACAGTGGATGCCATTAGAGAAGAAAGAATCGAACGATTCATCCTCTCGGCCTGTCCATTCGCCCGTGGTGTTGCTGTAGCACACAATACTCGTTTGATTCCCAATTCATGGCAGTAATCGGCAAATTTCTTGCTCGTAAAAGCTGCCCCTCTGTCACATATAAGCCTTCTCGGAACACCAAACATTTCAAATATTTGGTTTAGAAGCTGAGTGACAGGCCCCGTTTTCGTGTTTGGAACTGCTTTCAGAAAAACATATTTTGTGAAGCCATCAACTACAACTATCAGATAGGCGTTTTTCTTTACACTAGTAACAAAGGGCCCAAGATGGTCGATAGGGTGTCCATTGGAATGCTTTCTCTTTCGATTGGGTTGAGCCTTCCTGGCTTCTTTCCAGATGGCACTTTATTATACATACATCCCAAGCAAGAGTTTATGTAATTCCTTACATAATTCCTCATGGCTGGGAACCAATATCTGGCGCTGACAGCTTCCAAAGTCTTGTCCACTGCGAAATGCCCGGCACCATCATGATAATACATCAATATCCTTCTACGAGCAGATTTCGGAATCACCCATCTATGTCCACCAGATGTTATACGGTAAAGGCGTTTTTCTTTCAAACAATGATTCTTCCGAATTTCTTTGTCCTCATCCTCTGACGGTTGTCGTGATAAGGTTTCTATCAGCCGCTTGCACTCGCTGTCCTGTAATTGTGCTGATAGGACCCAATCATTTTCATCAACACTCACTAACATCGCATCGACATCTGAAGTTGACTCGTTACTTATTGGCGGGCTTCTACTCAAAGCATCCACATGTACCATCTTGGTGCCAGCCCGATATTCAATTTCAAAATCGAATTCTTGTAGGGCGAGCCACCACCTGGCTATTCTTGGAACTAGATCCCTTTTCATCAAGGTATGCCGTAGTGAGTTGCAGTCGGTCACTACCTTGAAACGGATACCTATGAGGTAAATTCTGAATTTCTTCAAAGTGTTGACAAGGGCTAAGGTTTCTAGTTCATACGAGTGGTACTTTTGTTCCTCTTTCGTAGTGGCCCGACTAAAATACTGAACTGGTTTTAGAATGCCTTCCCCTTGTATTTGCAATAATATACCACCTAGCCCAACTTTGCTAGCATCGCAGTGAACCTCCGTCGTTGCATCTCTATCATAAATTGCCAGTACAGAGCGTTCCGTAAGTTTAGACTTCAACATTCTAAATGCCACCTTTTGCTCACTGCCCCAAACAAAACTGAAATTTTTCTTAGTTAGGCATGATATCGGTTTTGCAATGGCAGCAAATCCTGGAATGAATTTCCTGAAATAGCTTGCCAAACCAAGAAAACGTCTCACATCATGTACATTTGTAGGCTCAGCAAATTCCGATACGGCTTTGATTTTGTCAACACCTAGTCGAATACATTCACCGGATATTTCATGTCCTAAATACTCAATTCGTTTTTGAAGGAAATGACACTTACTCAACCTCAAGGTCATTCCGGCTTCTTGAAATAGCCTCAACACGGATTCTAAATTTTCCATGCCTTCGAGGATCGATTTCGATGGAATGAGTATATCGTCCAGATATGCCATGGCAGTATTGAAACGTAGAGGGCCCAGTATTCGATTGATGGTCCTCTGGAAGACTGCAGGGGCGTTAACCAAACCAAAAGGCATTCTCAAATACTCATACTGCCCATCTGGAGTAACAAATGCTGTCTTTGGAACTGATTCTGCCTCCAGAGCAATCTGATGGTAACCTGAAGCCAAATCCAAACTGGTGAAGTACTCATTGCCCTTGAGAGAGTCCAATAAATCATCAATTCGTGGTAGTGGATATTTATCCTTGATGGTTTTCCTATTGAGAGCTCTGTAGTCAACACACATTCGTTCCTCTCCATTCTTTTTCTTAACCAGTAGAATAGGACTTGCATATGGTGAGTTAGACTCACGAACAATATCATTATCAAGCAAACCCTGTACTATATTCCTTACCCTGTTCCGTTCCGTGAAAGCTATTCGGTATGGGCGGTAGGTAACAGGTGTATCATCACTGAGTGTAATGGACATTTTCGTAACATCTGTCTTACCAACTTCATCGAGTGACGTAGCGAAACAATCCCGGTATTTATTGAGGAGTTTCAAAATATCGTTTCGTTCAAGAGTACTCAGTTCCGGACTGAGCTGTTTCTCAATATCATTCAGGTTGAAATGCTCGAAATTCTTAACTTCCACTTTCAGACACTGAAAAGATTTAATATTAGAATCCTCAGAGCACGTATAACCTCTGGCAATTACTTCACCTCTTTCGTAACAAATTTCACCACCTGAAGAATTGATAATCGGTAAACAACCACCTTGGTTCACATTAATGACACACCTAGGTATTATGTGGAACTTGGTAGGCCAGTCCCTGTATTGTGAGTCGATAAAAACATCCTCAAAATGTTCGGTACTATAAGTTGCAATGAGACCCATCTGGAAAGGAGGAATAACAGTCCTCTCTTTAGCAAAAAGACTGATTTTTCTGGAAGGCAATTGATTCATTGTTGTCAAATGGTTTGGATTATGATTGAATAATCGTATTTG